ATTGATCTATCCTTCTGCGTAAAAGTTTTTAGGGCACGAACAACGACGGTCCACACTCTAACCCATGTGCGATTATTTACAGATAAGAGTCCGGTAGAGACGGCGGGCCACGCGTGAGGCCGACACTCACAAGTCAAACAAAGCAGAGCGGCCAGAGGTCCAACACCGCCAAGCCCGAGATGCGCGCCGGAGTCATCCTCGTTGTGCTGGCTGTGGCCGTCTCGGTCACCGCCCAGGTGAAGGAAGGTATGTAATAGTGTGTTTCGGCCGACGAAGGGATAGTGGGTATAGAGCACTATAACGCTCCCAATAGGTGCAGAGCTTTCCCGCCAGTACGAATGACACACCGGTAGGGGGGTAGCGGGGGAAAAGGCTCGACCAATCAGCCGATGTTCTACCCGCTAATCGTCTAGCCGAAGTATTCTATAGAGAGCCGGCGAGTCTGTGGGTTGCTGACCAGAGTGGGGCGACCACACACGCTGTTCGCCACAACCAGAAAAGTATGTTCTTGCATCAAGTATGGCCTAGAAAGGTCGCATTGAATCAATAGATTTTTAAACTTCAATCAAGAACATACTTTTTCGACTTTTTCTGGATGCACTTGAGGCAGAGGAAGTGTAGCAAGTTGGTTAAGCCCAACTATCAGAAAGGACCCGGCACCGAGACGGCGAGCTTAGCCGACGGGAGAAATACATGTCACCCTTTGGTTCTAGATGCCGCCTACTGGCGAGACGTGGCTCGTTCCGAGCTGGACGCCGTGCTCAAGAAGAAGCCAGTCGAGGGCGTGGCAAAGAACGTCGTGCTGTTCGTGGGCGATGGCATGGGGCCCAGCACCGTTACAGCCTCCCGGATCTACGGCGGCGGTGAAACGTCCTTCCACAGCTTCGAGACGATGCCCTGGACGGGGATTCTCAAGACGTATGCGGTAAACAAGAAGGTCCCGGACTCGTCCTGCACCGCCACGGCGCTCTTCACCGGCGTCAAAACCAACTACGAGGTGGCGGGGCTCGACGCCAACGTCAAACTCGCCGACTGCACCGCCTCGCTCGATCCCAAGAACCAACTGAGCTCCCTCCTGCAGTGGGCGCAGGAGGCGGGGAAAGCCACGGGTGCGTCCGTACGATCCTCCCTGTACATGAGCAGCTTCCCAGGGAACAGGAACAGACAAGTGGTCAAAGTGATGTCATATTTGTCATGAAGGCAGTTATTTTGACGTATTTGAGCTAGTCGCGACACCAACATGACCTCGAAATGCGACAAAATGACTCCTTTGATGTCAAATGATAGCCCAGGTAGAACACGTTTGTCAAAATGATGTCACAATGACCTCACTTTGACGCTCATCGTCAAAATTTACTGCGGCTAGATAGCCAGAATGAGCTCATTTTGCCGTCAAATGAGGGTCATTGACGAGTTTTTGACGATTGTGTTCTACCTGGGAGCATTCTGACCTGTTTCTGTGCCCCGGGTTGACTGAAGCTTGACATTTGACCTGCAGGATTCGTGACGACGACCCGCGTGACACATGCCACCCCCAGCGCGCTGTACTCTCGCTGCCCCGATCGGCGGTGGGAGTGCGAGGCAAATATGCCCAAAGGGTCGGAGGACTGCAAGGACATTGGGCGTCAGCTGATCGAGGACGCGCCGGGGAGAAACCTCAATGCAAGTAGAAATGAAATAACTAGCAACCGTAGGAGAAATTTTAAGTGTCAAAGTGGCAAGAAGTGGATTCTGTCATTTTAAGTGGCATTTGTGCCGGCATTTCCCAGTTAAAACGACCGAATCCACTTTGCCACTTAAAATTTTTCCCAGGGATGAAATGTTGACCGTCAAAGATTTAAATCTTATATGACCTTGTTTGAAGCAGGTCATTATGGGAGGAGGAAGACAATGTCTGCAAACAAATATCACAAATTCTGATGCGGATCCAATAGACACATGGTCGTGTCGTCGGAAGGATAACAGAGATCTCATACGCGTGTGGTTAGATGATAAAAAAAAGAGGAACCTCAGCCACAAACTGGTGGAAAACACAGGCAACCTTCGTGCTACAGACACCACAGATGCAGATTATGTACTAGGTAAACAACAACTTTACAATAGAATTTAAAAAGTCTATTCTGTCTTAACACAACAAAAATAAATTAACAGGCATTTTTGCAAATGGACATTTAAAAATGGAATGGAACCGGGACAAATCTTCAGTTGGAATGCCTTCATTACTAGACATGACAACAACAGCTATTGAAATTCTAAAAAAAAATCCAAACGGATTTGTACTGGTGGTAAGTTATAAATAAAACTCAGATTGACTCTCAATTACATGTAACCTATTTAAATGAAAAATAATAACTGTTTTCCTACTAGGTTGAAGGTGGAATGATCGACATGGCACATCACAGAGGTCACGCTAGACAGGCTCTTGATGAAACATTAGCTATGGATCAGGCAGTCTCTGCTGTCCTGAATCAGACAGATGAGAGGGATACATTGGTTGCTGTGACGGCAGATCATGACCAGGGTATGGCATTCAGTGGCTATGCTCCAAGAGAGGCAGACATTTTGGGTAAGAATAGAATAGAATTATCCAAAATTGTTGACTGATAGTTACTCACATTTCCAATTCTCAAAATAATGATCATGAATTAAAAACAATACTTTCAACTTTACATATTTTCCAGGCATTGCTGAGCTATCCAAAATTGATAAGATACCATATACCTCACTTCTTTACACAACGGGAGATAATAGCAACTACCAGTTTGAAAAAGTTGGCGAAAAATGGCAACGGAAAAACCCAAAGGACTCTGACACCACAAGCTTTACATATTCACAGCAAACAGGAGTGCTTACCGATGAGGTTCATCATTCTGGGTCCGATGTGGCAATCTATGCAAGAGGTAATGCTGCTAACTACTGAGTGGCCTGCAGTAATTCTTCAAGATACAAGTAAAACTTATTTCTATGATTCCTAGGTCCAATGGCTCATCTCTTTGCTGGCGTTCATGAGCAAAATTTTGTTCCTTTTGTGATAGCCTATGCATCTAAAATTGGAGAGTACAAGTCATCATCAGGAAGTGATTCAGTCACAGTCAAGCAAAATTGTTTGATGTCAATTACAGCTGCAATAGCAGTAACAGTATGTGGAAAACTGTTTAAATAATGTGATCCACTAAACTTTACACTAAATAAAAATGTTGATTGCAAACACAAACATTAATGATAATGTTCTTAATAGATCTTATCTAGATATATAACTGAAGAATGGTATTTATCTAGAGGTCATTTCTCTGTACATCTGAATTTTTATAAAGTCAGATTCAATTGTTCTTAAAGGTGCTAGCTGTGGGTCTGGTATCTCCTTTTCAGTTGCTTCCAACTCAATCCATGGAAATCCCTAAACATATCAAAAATAATTAATTCAAGATTCAGAATTATTATTCATTTTATAACTGCACCTTAAAAACTGCATTTATATTATTATACCTCAAAGGCAGGGTCATTGGCAAGTGCCTGAGAACCTTGCTCAGTGGTTTGGAGGTGAATTTGGAAAGAACAATTTTCAGTAAGAGGCTTCATGTCAATAGCTGCAACTTTCAAACAGAAGGCACGAAAGCCATCCCTTAGTTTCACAAGGTATGTGTCAGAACTGTTAAGAAAAGAAAAAGAACCCTTTCAGTCATGTTGATTCCATACTTTGTACAAACGCTCGCAACTTCACATCCTTACAAGTCATGATCTATCCTAAAATTTTCATGTATGCTTAAGATATCAAATACAAAACGTTCAATAGGAATTTCATTGTCGCTATAAAAGCACACTGATAAGCACTTCAAGTGACTGCTTCGTAGTAATGCCTTTGCACTCCGTAAGGTCTCTATGATGTACTGGTTAAGTCCAGGGTGCTGAGACACCTGAAAAATGAGGCATGAGATATAATGAAAAACACAAGGTCTCAGACAAAAGGATTCATAGAGAAGAAGAGTGACAGCCTCTTCTCCATGGTACCATCATTAATATGTCTTGTGAGGTTAGACCAACCTGAACAGGAATATTATACATTTTTCGTAGAACAAATATGGATGGGGGATAGAGATTTCTGAGAAACAGCAGATGATGAATTGAAACCTCAAGAAATTCAACGAGAATATCAACAATATCTGAAAAACAAGGCAATGTGTGATTTAAAGGTTAATAATGAAGTTTCGATAAACTGGCAATGAAGAAGACGACAATGTCGTTCTTTATTATTATTATTTTATATTTTACCTATGCTTCGTGCCTGTGATGACATGTGGAACGTTTGCTAAAACAAAACAATGAAAATGAACCTAAACATTTCGTCTGCAACGAATTTGAAATCGTGAACACGGCTGTTTGCAGGTTCTGCCCTCAAAAATTAAAAGTTTTTATGAAAAACGTTCAATGTTTCTTAGTTTCAAATGAGAATATTGAATTTGCCTCAAGATAAAATGAAATAAGTACTATATGATTATAATAACAAGTTACTTTTCATTGATTCATCTAAAATTCTGTCCTTTGTACAATAACAAAGTTGGTAGAGCTGTTGAGTGTTGTTGTTTTGTTCTTCTGGTGATTCAAATTTGGTTTTACGTTTCAAATCACTTTATAGTCATTTCCTTTCTATTTTTCTACTTTTTACATTCTACACATTGTGAATTTGCGAAATATCGTTCATCAACCATGACCGACGTTGACGGTGGAACTCGGTCTTTCTTCGTTGATTTGGATGATGCTGAAGTTCCGTCAGAATTTCTCAGAGTGTTCGAACGGGTTGAGAATTTGAAATGCGTAATCTGTCTTTTAAAAGGTTGGGATGAAGAGGTAGCTGCCTCAAAAGATTCTACTGTCAAGAGTCTTTCAAATGCAAGACGAAATATTGTGAAGATAAGATCCATCATTCAAGCGATACAGGAAAACATTGAATGTCTCCAAGTAAGCTACAGTATACTGAAATCAACAACATTTGTTTCAAAGTTTTTGATTTATAATTTCAATTTTATTGTTATTTGTAGGAAGAAAGAAATTTTGCCAAGTACCAACAGCAGAAGTTACTATATATTCTCAACAACATCCCCGATAGATTTAATTGTCTAGTCCCTACACAGGTAAGTTACGCTTCAAGATCCTCCTCTTGTTTTCTTGTACCTCTGAATTGGATCACATCGGTCAATGGTTCATAGGCCTGCTTCGGGTCCTTGTGATCTCTCTCTATTTGTACTGTAATCAGTTTATTTACAGAAAAAGGGAGATAATAATTTGGCCTCAGTCACTTCTAGTGAGCCTAGTACTAAAGAACATCCAAGTACAGAACAGCCTTTAAGGAACAAGACAGTTTGCAACATCCCTGAAGTATTGTTTCTCACATTGGACGAGTTTGAAAAAACACCAAAGTGAGTTAGGTTTGAGTTAGCAACTTTAACTACCCAGAAGAAAATCTATTTAAAAGTGTAATCGCTCATGAATTCATATCCCTTTTCTCCAGGTACTTGAGGGGAAGAGTGACATACGAGAAAATTAATGGATTCATTGAGGTGTTTAACAAGGTTCTCACAAGTAAGTATGCAGTTTTTAAGAAGAAAAAGTCAACTCTTAAGAAAAAGGATGCTGATTTGTGGAATGCATACTTCAAGCAAGAATTAAAAGAAACAAAAGGTTAGTACATAGTCACACACTGCAAAATAATCAATATCTGAGAGTGATCTCATAGGACTTGTCTGCATATTTCAGGACTTTACTTTTGTGTGGCTGATGACTTTAAAAATTTGAATGGATGTGTTTTGGATAAAGCATCTCTGAATATGTTAACCATACTGAGGCATTGTGGAAGGATAAGAGAGTTAAGAACTGGAGGTATCCTACGATATGTGGCAGTGTTTTAACTAAAATCTGATAAATTTATTTAATAATGCCTGTCTACCTTGATTGAAATATGAGAATTGAATGATCAAATAGAAACTTTGTTTGTTAAAGTATTTCAGTTAAATTGTCTGGTTTTTAAGTAACACTGACTGCATATATTTGTCAAAATAAAACCTCATTTTAGAATAATTTTAACTTCCAAAGTTCCACCTCTATTAAAGCATGCACAATGCTGCATCATCTTTCAAATCAAAGTTCTGTAACAGCTAGGGGGATTGAAAAGGAAATCCAGTCAGTAAGAATGTGACATGTATTACCGAGAGCTGTTCAAGTGGGGATGGTTCAAAGTTGCCACCTGCGTTTAGATAGGAAAGTAAGGCAAAGCAAAATAAAAGACCTTCTTGTGGAAGGTAAAACATAGAAAGAAATGAACATGGCAATGCAGTTGAAAGATTATTCAACAGATCTAGCTCTCGACCGACTCGACGTAAACAAATAGTACTTAGTTTTGTTGTCTACATCTCAGCAAATTATTATACTAAAACACTTTGTTAATCTTTTTTATTACCGGTAGAACCATTCCATAATGTTTCATATAATATGAGAGGAAAGCAGCCTCCAAGTTTCTTGAAAGAAATATTTTTATCTTTGGCGCCTCCTGTCCACAGAACTTTGAACGAATTGGCCTCAATATCATACATTTCTATACAAGGTACATCATTGTTTTCAGAGAATGAGTAGATCTTTGAGCCTACTAAACAGGCGTCTCCTGCTGGGTTCTGGAAAGAGCCAATCTGCCTCATAGATTTTTCTCTAATAGGATCATAGCACATCAAATCTGATGAGTAACATCCTGAAAAAAATATTGAACATTAATTTCAGTTTTGGTAAAAATGTCTATTTTGCTGAGAAATATTTTGAAACATACCTGTAAGGAAAATATGTTCTCCATAAGGCATAGCAGTATTAAAACTCATTCCAGCTGGTATGTTAACATCATTTAAGGTTGCCCAACTATTACTTGTTGGATAATAACAGAAAACTTGGCATGAGATCACATAAATCAAATTTTTATGCACACAAGTGGCTGCTGAATACAGACTACTTGGTAGAGGAGCACATTTATGCCATGTTCCTGAGAATGAGAAGAAAAGCTCAAACAGCGTACATATTCAACTAAGGCTGCTGTGTTTCAAACACATAGCAAACAAAATTTAATCCACAGATCTTACTTGTGCTAAAGTCGTAACGGTCCACTGAATCCATAATTACTCTGAATTTACCGCAACCCCCAATGATATACAAATCATTATCCAAACACACTACAGAATGATGCCTTCTTGGGACAGCAAGACTAAAAAATAATAAAAGAATTTTTCTAAAATTAAAATGTGGAATTCATGACAACCTTACCGAATTGAAATGACTCAAAGAAATAGAATCATTTTAAAATGTGTTGCGTTTCATACCTAGTTTCAAAACTCCATGTTTCACTCCACACATTGTATTTCCAAACAGACTTATTCCAGTTCCCATAGCCAAGAAGATATTCTCCACCAATCACGTACAGATCTTGACCTGTGTATAAAGAGTTAAACAGCAATTTAAAAAAAAAGAGAGAAAAAATTTTCTCAAAAAAACAAAAAAACTAGACATAACAACACATAACAAGACATAAAAGTGGTATCAACAAACCTCTGGTAACAACAGTATAGCCAAGAGCTTCAGTAGGTCCTTGATCAATTTTTGTGAGAGGGAGTAATTGGATTGGTTTCTCACTCCTGCTGTGATCCCAGATGAAAATGCAAGGACTACCACTCCTATCTCTTTTCCCTTTTTTGTTTTTCTTAGCAATGTTATTAGAAGGTGAATCATTTTCTTCAATCTGAGTAAGTTTTCTTTCTTCTTCAATGACATGACCAATAATACACGCCACAGTTGGTAAAACACGTTCTTTTGAACGAAGAATCCTTTCAGCTCTAGAAACTATACTAGACGGAAACTTTTTGAAATTACTTAATTCACTAACATCATCCGCAGCTTTAACTGATGACACTTCTGGAACTTCAGATCTACAGGAGAGTGTTTCCGCAATTCTTTTAAACTGATCACAGCACCCACTGTCGATATCACTTACATCATCTTCTGTAACAACTTTGGGAGCTTCTTTCTAAAATATATTTTACAAAATATTAACATATTACAAGAAAAATTTGTCCAGAAACTTGCTAAGCAACGTAGAATTAAGTCACTTACCTCATTTATTTCCTCGACTGAAATGTCTACACCATTGCGAATGCATAAGACACATTTAATCAATAAGTGAGCTTCATCACAGCTCTCTACACAAGTGTAGTGTAACATGCTTTTTAAGTCACTGATTGAAATGTATCTCATTCGAATACAAGAAAGAGCATCCAAAGTTTCAGATTTCCTGTCTGAGACCTTATGATCAAGCCAACTGCAGAAAGAGTTCTTCTTTTATGAATGTGATGTTACATTTTAAATTAAATTATGTCATGCTATGTAAAGAGACTCACCATGAAACTCCTTCAAAAACCTGGAATTCATCCCCATTCGGACCAAGAAAAAGTGCTTCTTGTGTCAGATAGTGGACTAAATTATCTAGAGGAAGCTCTAGGAATGCTTGGGTATGCCTCACCTGAAAATTTACGAGGACTGATTGAAGTTATAAGATGATTTTGAAAAATGCATAGATGGAAAGCTATACAGATTAAAGATGGCAACCGCAAACTGACCAGACATACCTCAGAGAAGGTCCAAAGTGCTAGAGTAAAAGCTTTTTGATACAATTTAGTAAGTGATAATTGGTCTGCTGTAGCAGCTGTCAGCAGACAGCTTTCTGGGGAAAGCCAACGCTGCACCATGATTTCTTCACAAGTCTTTTTTAATTGGTGATATTGAAGCAAGTCAGCAGCTTGAATAACAGCTAATATATCCTCTTCTTTGAGGGATTCTATTTGGCTAGAGTCATTACTCCAATTTAAAATGAACCTCATTGCCACAGCATCCACATCCTAAAAGGTTAATTGAAATTAACTTTTTCCATGATTTCCAGTACATTAAGTTGTTGAAAGACATAATACATTTTTACAGAAACCACGTCTTGAATGTCAACCTACTCACCTTAATTGGTATAATTTTTTGCTCTTTTTCCATAAAATTAGGACTGAACATGGCTTCAAAGTAAGGACTTCGGCTAGCCAGTTCATTCCTCTGACAATGAAATTTGTGGCCATCAACTTCAAGTGTTACATCAGGCCCGTTACACATCTCACTTGAAGCCATGACTGT